TCTCCTTGACACCCCGCTGTCAGCCAGAGGTCCTGTTTCGTTACCCTCTTGGGGGTTCCTTTTATGTATCTCCTGTGTTGGTTGGACCTCCTCTTTGCCATCACTTGGCGCCCTTTTCGCTGATCTAGTCTCTTGTTTTGGCAAACATATCTTAAAATAATTTCTTCACGAAGTATGTACTGCAGGTAATTTATTGATCTCTTTCATGTCTGAAATCATCCTTATGATTATTGGTTTTTCTGGCTGGATATAGAATTAAAAGTTAGAAATTTCCTTCATGACTTTGAAGGTGTTGCTCTGTCATCTTCTTGCTTTTCATGTTGCCACTGAGAAATCAGAAGCCATTCTGGTTCCTGATCTTGGTGTGTGAACCATATCATACTCCCCTACTAGCACACCCTTACCTCCACTTCTGAGAATCTGGCTCTTAAATTCCACAGGTGGCATGTGCAAAGTATTTGGTGGGTCCTTTAAACCTGGGCAACTCATGATTTAAGTTCTGGGAAATTTTTTGTATTATTCTTTTGAGTTCTTCCTTCCATTTCTTTTGTTCTTTTTGCTTTACTTTTTGGGGCATTTCCTCAACTTTATCTTCTAGCCCTTCTGTTGAGTTTTAAATTTCTCAAGGTGTTTATTTTTCAAGAGCCCTTTTTATATTTTCTGAAAGTTCTGTTTTTGTTTGATAGTTGTAATATCTTAGGATATTAATAGTAGTTTGAAGTTTTTTATCTTGTTTAGTCTGCTTCCTTTTGGTTGCTCATTCTGTTTGTTTTGAGATTTTGGTCTTCCAAATTAGAGACTATTCTCCAGATGTTTTGGGAGTTTGGTTGTCTACTCATGATTAATACTAGAGCAGTGGTTCTCAATTGGGGCCAGTTTTGCCCGCCCCAGGGGACAAATGTCTGGAGACATTCTTGGATGTCAAATCTGGGTGAAGGGGTGCTGCTGAGATTGCTGTTAACCATCCTGCAATGCAGGGGACATCCTCCTACAAGAAAGAACTATCCAGGCCAGGCCAAAATGCCAGTAGTGCTGAGGTTGGAAACCCTGCAGGAGATGAATTGGAAGCTGATTGAGAGCTCTGAATTTGTGGGCAGAGCTCGTTGAGCAGTTCAAGTCATTATAGATCTTTCCTTCTGGGCTGGTCATAAAACGCAACAGAAAATCTTTCTCCTACCTGAAGGATAAAGCTCTAGCTTCTAACATTCCCCCTTGTTAAGGAGAAAGGGGCTGGGATTGTCTACATACAATTTGAGTGATCGATCACTCAATCCCCTTGCTTTCCACTTACTAGTAACCACTTCCTTAACTACCTTGTGCCCCCCCCCCCCCAGATTCTCAGACCCTATGTTCTACCCTCTCTAGAGAATGGGCCTCTGATAGGATGGCGGTAGCGCAGTTGCACAGTGGTATGGAGTATGGGTATGGAGGGGATCTACCACTCTACCTGCTGCTTTAGAGATTTCATTTCATTCAAACCTTGTTCTTTTAGCCCCACTCTCTTAACCTCTAGTTCAGGGTTATCTGGTGCTGCCAGTTCAAGAGCTTCTTGAAGAACCTGGAGTGTAAATGAATGGGTTTGGTTTTGAACGTTCCCTCTTTTCTGTTTGTCCTTCAGCTTTCCTGAGTCTGCTAAGTCAGTTACTATTCTATCTGCTTTTTTGCTTCCTCAAATTTGATTATTACTATTATCACCTCTCCTTTCTCCCAGTCCTTTTTAAAAAATGATAAGCCCTTTGGTATCATTTGAAAGGGGTTTGGGGAGGAAGATAAATTAGATGCATTGTGTTAAATCTATCCTATTATCCTGGAAACCAACATACTATATTCTAGCCTGATTTCACTTAATTCTGGTCTCCTTTTTGGATGGATTTACTGTTGCTATCAAAATTGCTTATTTCCTAGACTTAACCTTTTTTCACATAAATGAGAACCAGAGGAGACGACTCTGTCTGCAAAGAGACACAGCTGCATTCTTTTCAAAACTTTAGGCCATGGTATAGCAATATTCACTTGCAACATATTCTGGTTTAATTGACCTTTTACTTAAAAACAGAATTCTGCGAGCCACCACCTGCCTCATGGAACCTTGTGCCACAATCCCTATCAAAATTCACTGCTCTAAAAGAGTTGAATAAAGAATGTCTATTTTATCAAATGTGAAATGCTATCAGTTATCTTATTTCATTTTGATTAACACGCTGGCTAGGATTAGTAGAAACATGAGAAAGATAGTCATCTATGATCATGGCTTACAACTATCTGTCAATATTTTCCCCCACATAAATACTCAGGAATGAGCTGTACCATAGACTAAATGCAAGGATGAAATTTCAAGCATCAAAGAATTTAGGCCAGATACATGGTGAGACCTAGGCCTCCTGAGCTTTTGCTGTTGCTTAACATATCATTCGCGTATAATTAATAAGTATAAAACATTTACTGTATTACACCCTCTTTTTTTTATTTTTTTTTATTTTTTTTTCAACGTTTATTTATTTTTGGGACAGAGAGAGACAGAGCATGAACGGGGGAGGGGCAGAGAGAGAGAGGGAGACACAGAATCGAAACAGGCTCCAGGCTCCGAGCCATCAGCCCAGAGCCTGACGCGGGGCTCGAACTCACAGACCGCGAGATCGTGACCTGGCTGAAGTCGGACGCTTAACTGACTGCGCCACCCAGGCGCCCCACACCCTCTTTTTTAAGATGGGAAACCCAGCCAGAGTATTTCATAGCTTGCCTGTCTTTAACCTGTCAACCAAATAAGTGTGCTCAGATCCTGCTAAAATTATAAACACTGTATACTCATTTGAATTTTTATCAGTTTCCATTGAGTTTCTAGTTGGTGGATTAAATCATAAGAAAAAACGTTAGGTATGTTTGTCTTTTGTGTGTACTAAATTTGATTCATCTTTTCTAATTCCCTGGGTGCCACTGAGGGACAGATCCTTGAAATGCTTTACTTTTGACCTGTCTTCAGGTCATTGGTAGTTCATAAGTGAACTCATTTTCCTTCCCTCACATTATAAAATTAGCCTAAAGAATTGAGGATTTGGTTTTTTATTTTTATTCACAGATTTAGACACCTTTCTCGGTTTTTTTCCCTCTGTATTCCCCTTTCTCTCTTTCTTCATTTTACTATTACTAAAAGGGTGGAGAGAGAAGCTATGCTTTCTTCTTTACCTTTGTTCAAACAGGAAAAAGTAAAAAAAAAAAAAAAAAAAAAAAAAAAAAAAAAAAAAAAAAAAGACTCTATTGTCCACGAATAATCCCACATACAGATCTTGGAACATTTCCAAAAAGATGTAGTGAATTGAAGCACACAACACAAATGTATATATAAATAGAATCCCAAGGGTTTATGTGTGGACAAAAACCAATTACATTAAGCATTTCCTGAAATTGCTTGCTGTTGTCAGGATAAGTAATCACAAGTAAGACATCCAGATTGAGAATGAAAACGTTTGTGGGAGTCCTGCCTCACTGTTATATTGTCTTCTCTTGGAGGAAAATCTTTGAATATTTTTGAGTGGTTATCAAAAAAGGTCCTCTTTCTTCAGAGTTCTGAAAGGCCCATTATTACTATTTTTTTCCTTCCAGTTGAGCTTTGTTAGATTGCTTGAAGAGAGAGATTTGAGGCTGTGGTGTAATTGATGTTTTGATGATGGCACGTGAAATCAACTAATTTGTATGATGTTAGAGAAATGTTTCAGTCTGGGTTAGATGACATTCTTTTCCTTGTCTCCTGATTGAGAGAAAGACAAACCTTCTTTGAGGCAAACAATATCACAGGTGTCCCAGTGTAAGTGACCAATGAGGGTGTTTTTTTTTTTTTTCCTGAGCAGAGAGGGGAATATGCATGTGTATACATGTATGTGTATTTAATGACCTAAACCACACTCGTTTTCAAATAAGCTACAGTATATTGCTGTTGCCTTCTGTATTATTCAATAGTCAATCCAAGCATATACAAATGAATCTTTGGATTATCTTTTGTTCAGATATTTGATAACCATTAATCACAAGGAACTGTGTGTATGTAACAATCATCCCAGTTGATTCAATTGTATGGGCAGTATTGAGAGCCACCAATTTAGGGAGAGAGCTGGATGACTCAAATGACTTGGGTCAGTGGCTCTCCTGGTAGAAATTACTTCCTTTCCATTGGCAATTTAGAACAATTCTAATTTGATGTTTAATGAAAATAGGTTTTTCTGTGACTTCATGTGAGACTGGAGAGGTTGTTGGGACAAAGTCATGCAGGGCTTTCTCTTTGTGAAGTGCCTCTTCAAATCTTTTGACCTGATTCTACTAGGGTGTATTTTCCTATTTGGGAATTATTCATGTGTTTTGGTTCTTAACTAAATATTATGCATTGAAAATACCTTCTTTCTCTGAGATTTTAAGCAGAAACATAATATCAGATTTTCATTTTTAAAACATGACTGCCAGAGCTAATGAGAGAAACCAGCTTTTTAGTAGTCCTGCTAGAAGATGGTAGTAGCTTAAACTAGGGTATGATACATGGAGAGAGGTGGACAGGACTGAGAAAGATTTGAGAGAAATGCCGTAGGACTTGTTAGTGAAGATTAGATAGGCAGTGGGTAAGATGAGAGGGAAGGTGTCAAGGAAGACTTAAGTTTCTGCTTCAAAAGGTGAAAGCTGTGTGCGCTACCACTGTGATTTCTTATTTTGTTTAAGATGTTGATAATATGTATAGAATATTTCAAAGATTATTTGCCTTGGGTATAAGAATACTAGTTAAAATTTTAATAAGTCATTTTGAAATGCAGATTTGTGTTCTATTCAGGCTTAGTAACTTCTAATTTATGAATTATTTACCTCATAGATTATAGAAAAATATGTTCAAAATTACATTACTTAAATTTGATCTTAAACTATGGCCATAGTAGACAATGAAACATCAGTAAGATGCTGATGGGAAACAGGGACTGAAAATCACTGAATTAAACTTGGTATTTTTCTTCTTTTTCTTTAAGGGGTCCCTTCAGTGTTGTACGACGATGTATCAACAGAGAAACTGGGCAGCAATTTGCTGTAAAAATTGTTGATGTAGCCAAGTTCACATCAAGTCCAGGGTTAAGTACAGAAGGTAAGAGATGGATTTCAAGTAAGTTATTTGATGTCTGGCTTTATTTCATCTCCAAAATCCATTTATCAACCTAACCTTCATCTGGGGGTGGGGAAGTGGTGGGTATGATATAGTGGGAAGTGGGTGGAGACAGTTTAAATTCCAGTCTAGTTTGTCAATTCTAGAAAATGGTATTTGAAAGATAGCTCGAGTCCTTTACAGTTATAAAGCCATATAGGATTGCTCTAGGCCTATGCTTTTTCACCATGAAGATCAGTGAAATCTGGATATATGTATATATCTTTTTTAGGGTCTAATTTTGATTCCTGTGATATGGAACAAGGGATGGGAAGGGAGGGAGGGGAAATAATGGGAAAGATAATGATAATTGCAGATTCAGAAGAAACTAAGAATTCCCTCCAAATCCATAATTTACCACCTTCAGGATTATGGTCTAAATGAACTAAAAGACTCCTATATCACATTTGGCTTAAGACACTTAGGGTGTATATGTGAAAATTTGAAAGATCAGTACTGTTAGGACTTGCCAGACTTAAAACTTGGTTTTAAAACCTTGATATGGATAATCATATTTATATGCAAATCTTTTTAAACAGTATGTAAGCATTTTAAAGTTTTACACAGTTTAAGTCCTAGTTTTGTGTAGCCACAGTTCCCATGTGCTCATACTTCAGCTGGCACAATTGATTACATTTATTTTTCTAACTAGCCTGTCTTCTAAATTCAGGCTTTTTAACACTCCAGTAAAATACATAGCCTTCTTTCATCTTTTTTTTTTTTTTATCCCAAGAACAATGCAATTGATAGTTGAAGTTGGAAAAGCTAAGGCAGAGTAGCCTATTTATATTTTATCCAGTTATCTTAACTTTGGAAAGTAGAATCCCACATACTGTGAGCTCCAAGTTCATCTTTTTCTGTAGATCTTTTTTTCAGGATCATTACTTTTAAGTACTTTTTTAACCCTTTGAATTATTATTACCCATGTACTGATTATAGAAGATTCTTAGAAGTTGTTACAGGAATCACTGATTTTTTCTTAAGTGCTTTAATCCTTAAGATGTTATGGTAACATTCAGAGGTTTTAGATCTTACGGACTCATACTCTAGAATTGGCTATTATTACTTTTTAATATAAATTATTTTATAAATTTAGCAGAATTTAAGATCTACTTCCAAGCAGGCTTTAATTATATTTCCTAAAACTTACCTGTATTCAAGTTTAATATACTGTATTTGATTTTCTTTACCTCAGTTGTCAACCAATAATAAAACCTTCCTGGGTCTTGAGGTAGTTTTGTGTAAACCTAGTTTATTAAACCTATGGATATGTCGAATCTGTATTTCCTTTAAATGTTCTGTTACTGTTGATGAACTTAGTAAGAGTCTAGTTTAAAATCACAAGTCTAAATCAGTTACTCAGTATACCAATTTTCTATTGATTTAGCTCATTGTTATACTTAATTCTAAATCTCTTCAGGCTAAAGACATTTTCAGGGAGTCAATTGATTACTTTCTCAGTTGGCTGAGGTTGTTTATTGACAGATTTCTTCAGCAGGGATTTCTGGTGTCATAGACTCGGACTGCTAGGCTGAACCTCTTTTTTATTGTCACCTAGTTAGGGAGTCAAATGCCAAACTTAGGGGGAGGGGTAGGCATGTAGTCCTTGTCTCTGAGTTTGTCTGGTCTTTACCTAATATATGAGAGCCTGTCACTGAAATTGTAGCTTACTCCTTCATTGTTTTGGCACTGCTTTTGCTATATAAATATCTTCAAGCCCTATTCTGAAGACAAGGCCAGGTCATTTCATTGATCCTGTATGGTAAGGCCACAACCTATACATATTAAATGATACCAATTGAATTCTGCATATTACTCATGATTTTACCTGGTTTGGGTAAGAGTTCAGTGTTATTCAGATGAAAATGTACAACTTGTCTTTTATATTTATGGTGCCAAAATGTAGTTTTCCTGTCGTCTTTAGCACAGTGACTCACAATGACCAAGAAGCAAAATCAAAATTTCATCTCCACTATCCCCCCACCTGTTTTTCCTTTTTTCTTTTTTGCATGGTGTTCCCATATCCTCTTATTGCTCATGTTAACACTATCTTACTTTAAGTTGGATACATTTTATTATATAAGATATATATATATATAATAAATATTTATATAAAACCTCTTTGACCAATTTCTCCCTCCCAGTGTCTTTTAACACCTTTGCAGTCACTACAGGCAAAACATCTTATCCCCTTTGCCCTTTCAGTCCATTTACAAACTCTTAGGGTCCAAAAATGACTTCATTCATGGCTAAGTGTAGGAGATGCTGTATTAAGGAGAAAACATATTTTGAAGTGAAATTTAACACAACAAAAAGGAATCCATAAATTCAAATAAGAATATCTAGAAATAGCTGTATTTACTATTATGTTCTGTTATAATTCTGTCTCTCAAGCAACACATAATTTAAAATCTATTTGATTTTTTATTTTTCCATTTTATTTTTTTATTTTTGTCTTTATGGTTTATTTGATCTTTGTCATTGCCTCAATATTTTTTCCTGTTTTAGTGAATTTGTATTCAAATACATTATTGAGTAAAATAGGCTTTGTAAAGGGTCACCTGAGATCCTAACTTATGCCGTTTACTTAGATCATTATAATATAAAGACAGACAAAAGGAGCACCTACTTTAAAAAATTACTTATATTTTATTTATTTATTTATTTTGAGCAAGGGTGGTGGGCAGGGAGAGAGAGAATCCCGAGCAGGCTCTCCATTGTCAGTGCAGAGCTCGATGCAGGGCTTGAACTCATGAACCATGATGTCATGACCTGAGCCGAAATCAAGAGTTGGCTACCCAACCGACTGAGCCATCTAGGCGCCCCAGAAGAGCACCTATTTTTAAGAGGCTTACAGTTTAATAGTCTTCAACCATTGTTTTTATAAGAACATGTGATAAATTCTAAATACAGAATTTACAATTTAGCTTTTGAAATAAAATATTGTATGTCAGAGACTTCTTGTATGTTTTAATGTTTTAAATTCTCATTGCTCTGCTGAAGATATTTTAATTATTTGAATATCTGTTTTCTATTGTTCCCACTAATATCATAATTTTTTTTTCAGTAGGGTTTTTTAATTTACAGGCTATGGGGTATCCAAGAACTCCTTAAATTGTAAGCAGAGTTATATATATGTGTTCATTTTCTTAGGAAGAAAGCCCACAGCTTTTATTAGTTTCATAAAAAGGCATATTATTCCTAACTGGTTCAGTTTCTTCTTTCATATGTATGAAACAATGAAATCAATTCTTATGAACATGAGGTGAATAACAAGTTTTTATTAAATGAAAGCCTAGTGAATTTATATTAGGATATTACTTCTGATCGGAGGATATTTTCATACTTACATACACAGCCTCCATTAATGAAATTCCTTGATGAATATCTTAAAACTTTTAATTAATACACATTTTATCTCTTACTCTGTTAACCCACTAATTAAATTTTCCTTTTTTGTTTTAAAAATAGGTATCAAAATTAATTTAGGCAAAGTGTTACAAGGACATTTTAAGGAAGGTAAGATATATAGAATTGGAAACTGACTTGACACTTTTGAGATCTTGAAGGAACTTGATTCTTCATGGTTTAATTTTAAAAGTTCAAAAATGGCAGTTTTTATTTTGGAAAAATATTGTATTCTAGAAAGAATATAGATTGGATTCCAGTTTACTTAGTCTCTAAGAATATCTCATTCTAAAAGTCCCAGATAGCAGATGATGCCAGCGAAATTGGAGGAGTAAGGACCTTTGACAATTCTCCTCTCCATAAAAGCAAAGAGAAAACTGGCAAAAATAGAATCAACTTTTTCAGACTCTGGAAATTAACCAAAGGCTTACAGCTATGCAGGAAGTATTTATTCAGGAAAAGTGCTGATTCTTGCTAAGGACAGTGGGCTTTGTGGCATTTTCACTCGTCCCACTCCCATCCCCCTCTCTCCAGTTCCATGGTAACCTTGAAAATAGAGTTCACAATCATGGTGAAAACCAGGAGCTTTGGCAGCCACCAAAGGAGGCAGAACAGGGAGGGAACTCCTTGAAACGCTCATGCCCAAGAAATTATCACTATTTGATCTAGCTGGTAGTTCCCTGGTAGGGACCCCACTTGCAAGGCTTGTCTTTTTTTCACCTGACTTGGAGATTGCCTACTGCAAAAAACCTTTTTCCTGGGGGCATTTGTTGAAAACTTTTAGAGGCAGTTTAACTTCATAGCTGTCTGAGGTCATAGAGTACCAGTTGGGACAGAAAGCTAACCTAAAAGCTTAAAAAGAAAAGCTGGGGTACTGAGAGGTCTATAGGGGCTCTGAGAAAGCTACAATATATTTCTGGGAATCAGGAAGGCTGTGCACATGTATAGGACTGTGCACATGCTCAAAAAAGACCTAACAAGGCCTTAAGCTCTCAATTCTGGCCAAGTTTCAGGCTGTGCAAGTAGGAATTGAATGCTAAGGCAGAGTTGTTAATTCCTTGAGCATTAAAGGTATACCCTAATGCATATGCAGACCCTGAGCAAAGACGAAGCTAACCCCAAGCAGAGAATAAGTGACCACACACAACAATGCAGACTTTAGACAATTAGTTCTAAAAACTCACTGAACAAATAGGAACAAAAACTGCAACAGTAACAGTTAAACCCTAGAGGAGGGGAAAGTCTAATTTCCAGAGTTGACACATTATTTAAAACGTTTAGTTTTCAACAAAAAAATTGAGACCTACAAAGAAACAAAGGAGGGCTCATCAACAATGGGAAAAAAACGCAATCAATAGAAATTATCCTTGAGCAAATGGAGTTGTTGGACCTACCAGAAAAAGAGTTTAAATTGTCTGTTTTAAATGTGTTCAAAGAGATGACACTGTCTACAAAACTAAAGGAGAATATGAGCATAATATCACCAAATAGAAACTATCAGTAAAGAGAAATTATAAAATGACAACCAAATAGGG